TAATGCAACGAAATGAGATATTTTCAGGAACTGTAATGACCCAGTGAATTATGTATATATATATATATATCATACATGACTATATATATATATATTATATATGACTCCGAGAAGTCACATGCAATGTTCCCTCTAAGCTGCACGAAAAAAGAATAAAATGCTGCTCAGAGGACAGACACGAAGTGTGTGGGGAAATCCGTGAGTGTTATCTAAACGAAAAATAATTGCAGTGCTCTGGTCCACCTCTATAGTTTGTGTCGCTATAGAGTTAGAACCGGTGAATGCGGTTAACAGGTTTCATAGAAAGAGAATATGAGTGTGTATGAGTGAGCCAAAAGAAATCATGTTCATGTTTTTTAAAATATATTTTGCTATTAGATCGGTGTAAATGCTTTAGTTTGTTTTCCTTATAATTTAATAATATACTATATTATGAAAACAAATTGAAGCATTTCATTATTTTTTTTCTCTTGGTAAATGTGCTTCATCTAGTGAATTCTGAATTAACTGCTTGTTTTCAAATTTGTTTTATTTAATATCATCAAGTTACATCAAGGGTCAAATCAAATAGAAATGGCACATTAAAGTTAAAAGTTACAACTGCATGATGTGTACACTTTTTGTGTGTACATACTCTGTGCAGCTCTGGTAAAGAATGTTTTTGCCCAGGTGGCCAGTTTGCTCAGCAAGGAAACATTGGTCACATGGTTAATTCAGTTTTACACACCTAAATATAGTCCTAAACAAAGCTAAAAATACTGTAAAGCATAGCCTCTGGTGGTTTACTTGTTTAATTTAAATAATATAGTTAAGATGTATTGAAGTTATTGTTCTGAAATAATTCATTGGCTAAGATTGAATATAGAGAGGTGCTATAAGGACTGTGGTGTGTTTCTTCAATGAATTTTTCCCCAAGTGTTGCAAGGTTTTTGAATCGTTGCGTTTTCAGACAGGAAACAGCTGCATCATGACAGGAAGTAAGGGGTGTAGAGCTCAGGTTAGGACACAATTGACTATTCTGTGGCAAAGAGAATCAGTTAGAACAAAAGGACAATCCCCTGAGGAATTGTGTGCCATCTTCAAGCCTTCTTACCGTTTTGCTCCTGGCTTTGTTCTGCCCTGCGTCTCTCCTTAGGGATCTTTAATGCAGGGCTTCCTTCCTTCTGTGGCTGCCCTTCTCCTTACTCTTTAAAGCCATCCTTTCCTGTAAAATCTCCCTTTTGTTAACTGCTCCTATCTGACTTTGCCTCCACACAGAAAACAGCTTTGAGGAGATCGGCAGAAGGAGCAGTTGGTCCTCAAGCGCCTTGCCAGCTGTCCCAAAAGGTACACAAAAACATCATGAAGTTACAAAATGTTATACAAATATGGAATCGGTCACCATAACCACATAAAAAAAATAAATAAATAAAAACTCACCTTTTTAAAATCACAGGTTCTCCAATCGAACATCAGCACAACACCAGAATTTCAGAGCCTCCACCAAGACTTCAACAAGGTCGACAAGTGCACAATTCAATACTCGATGAAACTTCTTTTAATCATCTTTTTGTTACACACTACCCCTTGAAATATCTAATCAGTATTGTATATTTTCCATCTTTGCAGACCCCTACCAAGCATTAGGTCCCATTAGCAGCCGTCTTGCAAATCCAGGTAAGAAATAATCATGAAAAAGTAAATGCATTACTGTCAAATGAACAACAAATGTGGCCTTTTTAGAGTATGGAATCATTGGATGCACAGATTTGGCACAAAGTTATGCCCTTTCATAATTAAATAACTGAGATGAGACTATATACTTGGGTTCAGTTATATCAATTATATAACTGAATATCCCTAATGTTAATATAACCTGGACAAATTTAACATATCTAAGACAATAAAATAAAATGATATACATTATATATTTTTAATAATTTGAGAAATATATATACACAGGATTGTTCAAACGTTTGGGGTCAGGATTTTTTTTTGTTGATAGAAATTAGTACTTTTATTCAGCAAGGACACACTAAATTGATCAAAAGTTACAATTAAGACTCGCATGGTTACAAAAAAAATCTTTTGAACTTTCTATACATCAAAGAATCCTGAAAAAAATGTATCACATTTTCCACAAAAACATTAAGCAGCACAACTGTTTTCAACATTGATAAGAAATATTTCTTGAACAAGACAGATTTCTGAAGGATCATAAGACACTGAAAATTCAGCTTTTCCATCACAGTAATAAATATATATTTTTTAAAAACATTACAATAGAAATTTTTTGAATTTTGATCAAATAAATGCATAAACGTCTTAAAAAACATATCCATCCCCAAACCTTTGAACAGTGTATATTTAAATTGTTTTAATGTTAAGACCTGAAGGCCTAAAAATAAATAAACAATAATTTACAAACCAAGCACATCATGATCAGTATGACTCTGTTTGCCCGACCTTCTTCACACAGAAACGAAACCATTCCACACCAAGATCCGAACGACCAAACAAAATTCTAACAACCTGCCCGTCACCAGCACTGACAGGACTGTGGGTAGGTGTCTGACCGACCCACATTCTGTTTCTGTGTACAACATACTAAAAAGGTCACATTTGGAGAAAAAAAAAAAGCTGCCTTAAAAGGGCCTTCAATCCTCTGCTAAAGATCTCTGACGCTCTTTATTTTCACGCAGGCTCTGGTCAGATCCAGCTGTGGCAGTTCTTGTTGGAGCTGCTGTCTGACAGCAACAACTCTACCATCATCACCTGGGAGGGCACGAACGGAGAATTCAAGATGACCGACCCAGATGAGGTGGCCAAGCGCTGGGGGGAGCGAAAAAGCAAGCCTAACATGAACTATGACAAGCTCAGCCGTGCCCTCCGCTACTACTACGACAAGAACATCATGACCAAGGTGCACGGCAAGCGTTATGCATACAAATTCGATTTCCAGGGTATCTCCCAATCCCACCAAAACCATCCTCCAGAAGGAGGCGTGCTCAAATACCAGGCCGAAGTGCCGTATGTGCAGAGCTACCACAGCCACCAGCCAAAAATGAACTTCATGGGCTCTCATACAACCCCTATGCCTGTTTCCCCTGGGAATTTCTTTGGGCCTCCTACCACTTACTGGAACTCAGCAACAGGGGTTGTCTATCCCAGCTCACCCATGCCACGACATCCCAGCACTCACTCTCATTTGAACTCTTATTACTGAAAAGGTCGAATTGTAAAGCCCTGGCTTTCTTTCAGACGAGTTAAGTTGGTGAAGACAACCGAGAATAACAGAATAACAAACTGGCAACTTTTCTGGGATCATTACCCAATCCAAAAACCATTGTAGCAATATCATAGTATCAAGTTCTCCATCTCATGGCATTTTTTGTACAGTTTATGCATAATCGAACACAAGCGTATGTCTTCGGGGCTAAATTGTAAATATGTTTTGCATGTTTCATATAAGGCTTTGAAAAGACTGCTCTGACATCCCTACAAAGCATAATCATCTCTTATGTTTTAAATGTAATATGCCTTTGTATGCAAGTGTGGCTGTGTACAGAAATTGTTTTAATCAAATAACGTCACTCGCCTATGTTTAACATTATATTTTAAACCAATAAAACATGTAGCTCACTTAATGCATCTGTGAATTTTATTATTGTAGACGTTACCCATCTATTCATTACAAAAAAAATGTGTGTGCTCAGAAGTCAATACGTTCAATGTTAGTTCATTTTATTTGTATACTGATTTTCAAAATGGCTTTTGCTCTAAAGCATCTCTACTACTTATTTGCTGTTATGCATGGTTATTAGTTCCCTTGTTTTAGTTAAATCAAAAGGAGGGAACAAATTAGTACAACGTAGTCATGATTTAGTAAAACAAGAGAAAGAATTCTTAATTCATATTTTTGTCTGCATGTCTTCGTAGTACGGTCACCTTGGTTATCGATTTGTCGATTTTATCGATTTTCAGTAAAATGTGCTCTGCTCCTATCAGCTAAGAACAGGAAGCTGAACATATACTGGACATGTGATCAAAACTGTGTGACTAAATAGGGTGAACTGGCAATTTCTGGCACATCATCAAGATAATGGAATAAGAATGTTTCAAGCAGCAAGAACTCATGGGCGGTGAGCCCTGTTGTTTATATTAAATGCAGCAGGGAGGGTTTTTGTAGTCTAGACTTTTTTTTTTTTTTAATATGACAGATGTTACATAGAGTGTAGTTTTTGGGTGCATTGGTAGTGTTCAACATGTACTTATCTGATCTAACACATTTAGCAACTTCCCAAGTTACAATTACTACCTCGCACCATATTTCAGTAGCTATGTTTCCATCCAAAGTTTAACTTGGAATTTAAAATTTAAATGTCGCAATAAACAAAACGCATTAAATGTGTTCAAGAAAACAAAATCATCACTTCCTGAGAAACTGGCGCAAAATATCTGTAATAAAAATGGAAGTTGCTATAATCAGGAGCCACTGTGGCCCTTTTTTTTATACATTATTAATGACTTGTGAATCAGAATCAATGCACAGATGATACGTTATAAACACTCATGTTATCTGGTGTTCGGATGCCTGGTGTTTGAGGAATGCAATCAAGTGAGACGCTTCTGGGAGGGAATTAAACCAAACTATTGTGATGACAGACTTTGTCTCAGGCATTTCAGAATGATCAAACCAACATTTCAGATGCTGTGCAATGAGATTGATCCCCTGGTTAATCCAGTTATCCAATCACAAGTCACGTGAGATTTTGTTGCGCATCAAGGTATTTATTCGCTGAATGCGTTTTCATTGTAGTTTATGCGCATGTCTTCTTATCGGATAAAAAACAAAATGTATCCACCTCAAGTTTTTTATGTGCGTTTTTAGAATTTTGCATGTCTTTGTGTTTCCATCCAGCTTTTTTTGTGCAATATCCGAAAATTCACATAAAATAAGTGAATGGAAATAGCTATTGATACGTTACCTAAAAATCACACTATAAAAAGCTAAAAAACATGCAAATTTCAAAAGTTTGTCATGTATTTATTAACACTTCAAGTGCAATTAAGCTGTGAAAACTAAATCAAAATGTCTTTATTAAGTCCTCTTTGTTTAAACCAATCCAAATACCTCCTCAAAGGTTCTGCGTGTCTCCTCAAATTTGTCGTCTTCCTCCACTTCTTCCACCACAGCCGAGACTGGCACAAAACGACGAGGTCCAATCTCAGCTGCCGGTGTGGTTATTATTTGAACAAAGCCTGTTCCCACCTCCTCTGGCAGGAATGGAGTTGTTTGCTCTTCCTCAACTATGTTCAAATCAGACTCCATGATCCAGGGCTCACTGGTGATGACCTTACTGGACACTACATGGAATAATGAAAAAGGGCTTGGTGTAAAATCTTATTACTTCCATGATGCGGCAAGAATTTTACAGGCATTATTGCATCAATTTACCAACAAAGTACAAGTTCATGAAAACCGACTTTTAAACTATTAAAATTGTTAAAAGTAGGATCACTTGAGGTTTCTCACCAGACAGGTCAGAAGACAGACACGTGGAGTCACAGCAGAGGCACACAGCATTTGAACTGTATAATTCTTCCCATCTGAAGAAGAAATTATCTGAATTAGTACCAATTCAGTTTTGAATTATCACAATGCAAACCAAAACTCAATATACCGTTTTGTTGACTGGTTATAAGTGCAGGACTTTCCACTTGCCGTTGGATCTAAACTTCCGACAGATATTTCACAATGCATGTAAAGATGCTGAGAATAAAAAGAACAGGCAACGTCAATAAACGGACTCAAATGTTATTCTGATAAAATAAAAAAATAAAATAATAAAGAGCCTGACCCTCTTATTCGTAAAAGCATGCAACATTTTTCTGAAATTGTATGACAGCAGCATGCCATTATGGCTTATTATTTTACCTTTCCCAACATCCCATGGAAAAGAAAAGCATCCAATGAGAACCGCACAACATTCCTTTGTCCACTTTGAATGAATCTGGACCACCTGCTGCTCATGCTATCAATCATGCACCTGAAATATAAAGTTTTGTCTTCAATTTCGCCCTAACCCTATAAAGTCTGGTAATAATAGCCCCCCAAAATGGAACAGTTTTAAAACATAAAAAGAAATCTAAAAAAAGGTTTGCATGCGTGTTGTTTGCGGAGTATAATTTTTGATACATCAGGCTTTTACGGCTCATATAGTACGATATAGAAGAATGTGGAGCTCATCCTCGAGGAGGAAAAATAAAACAATCCTCAATTTTATCCAGAGACCCAAAACTGAGCAAAAATCTCCAATTTGATTTAGTTGCTGTGATTTACATGGTCAAAACGTAAAATGAAATTCTGATAGCTTGTAAAGTGAGATCTTTATAACAGTATAGTAGACTACTTGCATAAAATGCTTATATCTATTATTAATATTATTAATGCTAATATCAATTGTCACTCTATAGATCCTAATTATATGTCTGTCAGATGATATTTAAATGCTTATGATCAAACCTCTGTAGTTTTAATTGGGGGGGACAAAACACAATGCAATGCAATATTTGAGAAATGTACAAATCAACGTTCCTCAAAAGCCTTTGTTTGATACATTTTAACATGATTTTTGTTTAAAAAAAAACAAAAAAACTTCTGTATAGATAACCAAGTAAACCTAATTTAACAATATAAAATGTATTTTTACGTTAACTTTATAAAAATTATTTCACAGAAAAAAGGCACGTACCACAACCTGAAGGGGGACGTTTTAGAATTATACTAAAAGACGTTTTTCCTGCTAAGAAAGTATAAACTATCAATCAGATGACAGAAGGCATGTAGCAGATTGTGTACAGCAGGCTTTTCAGCAAAGGATGATGTTGATCATTTAGAGGCCTTAGAAATTTCGTTTAGAGGAACACGCCAACTTTTTGGGACTTTAGCTTATTCACCGTATCCCCCAGAGTTAGATAAGTCCATACATATCATTTTCATTTCCGTGCGTGGTGTAACTGTCTGACGTACCCACCGCTAGCCTAGCTTAGCACAAAGACTGGAAGTAAATGGCTCCAGCTAGCATACTGCTCCCAATAAGTGACAAAATAACACAAACATTTTCCTATTTATATGTTGTGATTTGTATAGTCACAGTGTGTACAAATAACAAGGTCATATGAGACACCCATCTTTTAACCGTATATACTGGGAACTATATTCTGCTCTTCACCACAGGGCTTCTCAGGTGCTGCGAGCAAATCACTCCGCCCAAGTAGCAGTGCTTCGCCTTCTGAGAATATAGTTCCCAGTATTTATACGGTTAAAAGATACCTGTGACTCATATGACCTTGTTATTTGTACACACTGTGACTATACAAATCACAACATATAAATAGGAAAATGTTTGTGTTATTTTGTCACTTATTGGGAGCAGTATGCTAGCTGGAGCCATTTACTTCCAGTCTTTGTGCTAAGCTAGGCTAGCGGTGTGTGCGTCAGACAGAGTTACAGGACACAAGGAGATGAAAAGGGTATGTATGGACTTATCTAACTCTGTGGGATACGGCGAATAAGCTAAAGTCCCAAAAAGTCGACGTGTTCCTTTGAAATACAATACAGTAGGCTTTATAGGGTTAAAATAACAAAGTGTTACCCATGGTTTTCAATGACTGTAAATCGTGGCATAGACAAACGAGAATTGCTGATAGTCACATAACAGGAATCCACAAACAGCCTCTTGTCCTCAGCAAGAGGGGGTCCGTCTGCCTGAAAGTACATAGGGTGACCAAGGGTGTACTCTTCTGTGGGGGATAATCTTCTCCACAGCTCTAAAAGACAGAGACGTGATGATTCATTGACTGAAACAGAATGGAGTTCTAATTTACACTAGTCAAACCATATTTACCATCACGGGGAGATAGTACAACGCTGTCCACTGTTCTCAGGGGCTTGAAGTGGTTCTGAAGCCTGACTTGTGGTATGTAACCAATTTTGTATGAGTAATGATATCTGTGGGGAAAAAAGATTATGGGTGTTTGATTGTTAAAAAAAAAAAAATCAGTGATTAACAGATCAACAAAATGGACACAAAAATGTACTGCAAGTTTAAGTGGAACATAATCAACACAAATCTGGTACAACTAAAGACATCGATTTACCTGTTAAAGTGACACTCAACAGGGAGTGAGAAAGGCATGGCACGGCGGATCGGCCACAGGTCCACCTCCGGAGAGTAGCGCAGTATGTTGGAATATGTTACTCTTTTGTTTATTAACTGCATTCAAAAAGACAAAGATAATTTCAAAAGTTTATTAAGTGAATATGGAGGCCCTGAGTTGAATTTTTTCCAAGTGCCTTTAAGCGATAGTTCACACAATTTTTTTCATTTTGTCGTCATTTACTCACCCTCAAGTTGTTCCAAACCTGTATGAGTTTATTTCTTCTGCTGCTGAACACAAAAGAAGATATTTTGAAGAATGTCAGTAACCAAACAGTTGATGGGCCCCATTGACTTCCATAGTATTTTTTTCTATGACCCCAGGGTTAATAAGGCCCTGGGGCCTGTTTGGTTACCCATATTCTTCAAAATATCGTCTTATGTGTTAATATTTGGGTAAACTATTCCTTTAATTTCTTCCATACCACTTCGGTTTGATTTTTTTTTTTTTTTGCTGTAACATATTAGTTTCCACAATGTTTGCAAACGCCTATTGTGAAGTTATCAAATTAAAAAGTAATAGACAAAAATACAATAAGCAACATGGACATACAACATACGTAGTCCCTTAACTATGGAGGAAAAAATGCAAACTAAAAAAAGAAACGACAAAGAAAAACAAACCAGCTAAGCACACCTGTCTTTTACTGGCACACTGATCCACGTCGTAAATAAACACATGATAGTGCTTTGTAGTCTTGCTGATGTCACATGTTCCCAGTTTTAGCTCAGACCCCAAGCCATCGAGTCCTAAAATCTGTTTGTTGACTTTAACGATCATTTTCTTCATTTGGCAAACGACCTTTACTTGTTGTGATCGACTGCGGCGACGGGAGCTCGCGCGTACTGTGACGCGCGGGACGAGGACTTCTTTCGTCTCTTCGGGCAGTTGTTCACGGCCTGACCCATGTTTTGGAGTGAACTGCACTTTGTCCAAAAGAGGGATTCTAGAATGCTGGAAAATGGGAAGTTGCAAATATGGCGAGCCAAGACGCTTGACAGCAGATCCTTCCAAATCTTCTCCAAATCTTATGTCCAGTTCCGACTCTGAGGTCGAATTGATTGCGTGCTTAAGCGCAGCTCGTAACGCGTAAACATATGTGGAGAAAAAGACCACTAAAGTAAATAATACTGGAAAATAAAGCTTCATATCTCTAAACAGCATCAAAGTAATAGTCACTCAAACAACCTTGACATATTTCACATAACCGAGATGGGTAATTAAAGCACCTGTCGTCTTCAAGCACTGTTGATAGAAGTCCGATTCATTTCCACGAACCGGTTCTTTCGAGCAGGTCTCAAAACAGATCCAGCGTTTCTTTTACGTCATCAAGTGATTCCTGGTTATTATTGTTTTTTGTTTTACCTTTCTCTGATTGTTATTTAAACATCCAATGCACTAATAATAGATTTCATTGTTAATTTACATACTTGTTCTTATTATTATTTACAGACCGTGTAATGTTCCTCACATTTATCCTGGTGATGTCTAAACTTCTCTTCCCTGTATTTTAGAAACCATTTTGGTCGAATTGCTCTGATGCGAACAGCAACATGCAAAGGAGGGGCAGGTCACATAAATCTACAACAGAGTTATCCTGAAATATGACACCCCCCTCTTTTTCCACACAGAATGGCTTTAATGTTATCCAAATTCACTCTGCTAATGCCTAATCTCCTTTATTTCATAATCCAGAAAGCATTTTGGTCTGATGTGACTAACTACAGACATACAGCACGGTCATAAAATTAGACAGTATGCCTACATTAGAGATTTCTCTGTTCTTTATGTCTATTGGTCACAAAATGTATTCAGACCATGTCTAATCTCATTATTTTCTAGAGAGTTTATGTGGTTTATGGCCATGTTTAGGTGGAGGATCTGACACTGACAGCCCTCCTCAAGTTACAACTGACATCGCCAGGAATAATATTGAATCATATAAAACAGCTCCAAAACTTTTCAGATGGTGCCTTGTTGCCAGTTGAATGAAACTTGGTAAATTTTCCCAGCTGATTTTTACTTTATGATACCTTTGCATATTCCTCCTAAGTCTTTAGTTTAATTCCAAATGTAAAGTAGAGTTGCTTATGATTTAGGTTATATTATTTATATTAGATTATATACTTTGTATTTTGCATAAAGCAAATTAAGCCCATTTAAGGACCATTGAAAACTTTTGAAAAAAAAAAACTCAAGTCACACTTTACAATAAAGTTTTCATTTTCTAAACATTAATAAACTACAGTTAACATGAACTAAAAATGAAAAATACTTCTACAGCATTTATTAATATTAGTTAATCTCAACATTTACTAATACATTTTTTAATATCAAAAGCTGTATCTGTTATAACATTAGTTAATGCACTGTGAACTAACATGAACATTTTAATTAACTAACAATTGCTGCAAAAATGTACTGCTCATTGTTAGTTCGTGTTAGTTAATGCATTAATGTTAACAAATGATACCTTATTGTAAAGTGTTACCAAAATCTCATTACTGTACTATATACATTTCATGTTTTCATTATTGATTTTAAAATCAGTACAACAAACAATACTGAAGCTTTATGTAAAATAAAGACAAATGCGCAAAAAAAAAAATCTTAATGGTCACAAAAATCAGCTTAAATTTTCTTTAAGCATTTTTCTTTTGATTTTGGGATAAAATATGACCTGTGAGATTTTCCTGTTAAAGGGTTAGTTCACCCAAAAATGAAAATTATGTCATTAATGACTCACCCTCATGTCGTTCCAAACCCGTAAGACTTCTTCGGAACACAGTTTAAGATATTTTAGATTTAGTCCGATTGACAATAGAACCGGAAGAGAATAAAGAATAAAGTTGTAGTTTTTGTTATTTTTGGACCAAAATGTATTTTTGATGCTTCAAAACATTCTAACTAACCCACTGATGTCACATGGACTACTTTGATGATGTCTTTATTTCCTTTCTGGACAAGGACAGTATATCGTACATACATTTTCAATGGAGGGACAGAAAGCTCTCGGACTAAATCTAAAATATCTTAAACTGTGTTCCGAAGATGAATGGAGGTCTTACGGCCTTGGAACGACATGAGGGTGTGTCATTAATGACATAATTTTCATTTTTGGGTGAACTAACCCTTTAAGAATAAATTGTTAATTTAATGAGAGGAATCAAAAATGTCACAGGACATACGATCAGAGAAGAAAAACGAATGATCAATCAAAATTTTTTTAATATTCCGATGACATTACAGTGGATGTCAGTACTGTACATTGAAGCATTCCATATGCATGAAAAACACCTGGATGTCATATTATGCACATTCCTGAATTCAGTTGAATCCATGACCAAAACACTGACTTTAAGAAAGTATGCCGAGATCTTTTGCCCCACAGATGCAACTCCAAAAAAGGTCCATCGAGGATCCTAAAACAGAAATAAATAATAAAAAAAATGTAAAAAAAAAGCTAGAAAAATTTAAAGGAACTCAGCAGCTAAATTCACAATAAATGAATTAAACCATCATACCTTTGAGACCCTGGAACGATATCAAACGTCAGTCCCCCATTTCTCGCTCACTGGGTAGGTTAATGTTCATCTTTATTCCACTCGATTGGTTCTTGTTTGGCATCTAAAAATACCTCTTCATCCATCGCCATGTGTGAGGGTACTGTGGTTCGTACCTGCATGCTCTTCTCAAAAACTTCAGGCTTTATTTTATATTTGGACAGTTCTTCTCCGGTAATGTCAATCAGTTCATTTAGTCCACTCTTGCTGGACCCTTTGTCATCATTAACATCTTCCAAAAGTTCGGTGCTCTTGAGTCTCCCAGCATCCTCCTCGAGCTCTAAAACACGAACCATCTGTTCCCCAACAGACATCACTTTTCCAGAACGATCGCGCTCCTCACCCTTTATAGCAGTGGTTTCCTCTGTCCCAACAATTACTTTTACAATTTCATCGAAGCTTTTCATGGGCATATTTTTATTTTCTTCTTTTGCTTCAATTTGTTTTTCAGTATCAGTCACAGTCTCCACAGTATAACCATCTTCTTTCTCTTTACTGATTCCTTCTGCGCTGTTGAGTCTCCCAGCATCCTCCTCGAGCTCTACAACACCATCCATCTGTTCCTCAAGAGACATCACTTTTCCAGAAAGATCACCCTCATCCTTTAACTCTATAGCAGTTGTTTCCTCTGTCCCAACAATTACTTCTACATCCTCATCTAAATCTTTCATGGGCATATTTTTATTCTCTTTTGCTTTCATTTGTTTTTCAGTATCAGACACAGTCTCCACTGTGTAATGATCATCTTCCTCTTCACCGATTCCTTCTGCGCTCTTGAACTTCACCTCCTCTGTGTCCTTCTGAACACCGAACAATCCTTTTCCTTTGATTAACGATTGTTCGTTCTTGTCCATAATCCAGGGTAGACTAGTTATCAGAGATTGTGTCGTACGGGGCAAAGCAGCTGTTGCAAAAGCAAGAACAAAACATTCATGTATAGTGTTTTCATTTCAAGTTATGATAGTCTCTGATGCCTTCTACTTACAAGTTGCTTCAATTTCACAAATTGAATCACAACATGCACAAACGGACGCATCAGTGTAGAGTTCGTCCCACCTGTTGGTACAAGATAAGAATCTTGCTTCTCTGCATTTACACAGTATGTTGCACATATGTGAAATACAATTATTCACCTTCTCTCTGCATTGTTATAGGTGCAGGATTTTGCTGATGCGCTTGTGACATCGTGAACCGATATTGTGCAATGCAGGTAAAAGTGCTGTAAAAATGAGGAAAAAAAATGCAATCAACACATACATTCACATAATATGCATGTATGTAATCAACACATACATTAATTTCATGCATGACAGACAGACAGACTGACATATCCATACCTACATATCAGACAGGGGCAAGTTGTCACATGTTTTATATGTTGTCATTTCTATACAATAAAAAAATTCTCTCAGCCAATTTATGGGTTTGGTAATTTTGTTCATTAACTTTTACATTTTTGCGGTTTCATATTTCAGCAATAACAAATGGCAATTTGATTTTCATGTTTACATTTTGATGAAAAGGCCATCAAATATTCTGATTTGTTATGGGAGATGGCTTTTTATTTTAGATACATATTCTGGAACTGATTATCATCAAAATAATGTCAATAACCAGCAGGTTTCCCTTTAAGACAGCTTGCTCCAGTCCACATAGTGTGACAAAATGACCCATAGGTCAATGTGTGTTAAATCAGTCAATTCCCACAATCAATATTCCACAAGTTATCTCCAGCTAAGTCTTCAAGGTGTGGAACTATGAATAAACCCAATATAAAAAACCCCACCCAACAAACAATCTCTGGAGTTAAAAGTGAGACAAATAGCCCTGGTCTGCACTGCACTGCACTACATACATACATACACGCACACAATCTCACGAAAGTGAGTTCACCCCTCACATTTCAGCAAACATTTTAGTATATCTTCTCAAGGGACAATACTATAGAAATGAAACTTGGATATATTTTAGAGTGGTCAATGTGCTGCTTGTATAGCAGTATATATTTACTGTCCTCTGAAAATAACTCAACATACAGCCATAATTGTCAAAATAGCTGGCAACAAAAGCGAGTACATCGTAAGTGATAATAGCTGTACGTCGTTTAACCATGCAAAGCCACATGTCCTATTCATCATTTTCATATTTTTGTCTGCTTGACAGGACCATACAAATTTGTGTATCTTGTATTAGAGCAGTTCAAATTTGAGCTTTGAGTCCAATTTTCTCTTACGGAGCACTGGATGTTCAACATAGCACCTCATGGCAAAGACCTCTCTAAGGATTTAAGAATTAGAATTGTTGCTCTCCACAAAGTTGACCTAGGCTATAAGAAGATTGGTAACACCCTGAAACTGAGTTACAGTACAGGCCAGGGTCATACAGAGGTTTTCCAAGACGGGTTCCACTTGGAATAGGCCTCGCAAGGGTCAAAGAAGTTGAGTCCTCGTGCTGTGCGTCAGGTGCAGAAGCTGGCTTCAAAAAACAGACGCATGAGTGCTGCCAGCATTGCTTTAGAGGTTGCAGAAGCGGAAGGTCAGCTTGTCAGTGCTCAGACCATACGCCACACACTGCAACAAGTCGGTTTGCATGGCCGTCGTCCCAGAAGGAAGCCTCTTCTGAAGCTGGCTCACAACAAATCCCGCAAACAGTTTGCTGAAAGCAACCTGTCCAAGAGCATGAATTACTGGAGCCATGTCCTGTGGCCTGATGAGACTAAGATAAAGATGGACACCATCTATTTGGCTCAGATGGTGTCCAGCATGTTTGGCGACGCCCTGGTAAGGAGTACCAAGAAAATTGTGTCTTGCCTACAGTTGAGCATGGTGGTGGTGGCATCATGGTCTGGGGCTGCATGAGTGCTGCTGGTTCTGGGGAGCTGCGCTTCATTGAGGAAAACATGGATTCCAACATGTACTGTGGTATTCTGAAGCAGAAAATGATGCCCTCCCTTCAGAAACTGGGCCGAACGGCATGATAACTAACGACCCCAAACACACCACCAAGATGACAACTGCCTTGCTGGGGAAGCTGAAGGTGATGGAGGGGCCAAGTATGTCTCCAGACCTGAACCCTATTGAGCACCTGTGGGGCATCCTCAAGCGGAAGGTGGAGAGGCACCATGAGTCTAACATCATCATGGAGGAGTGGAAGAGGGTCCCAGCAACAACCTGTGCAGCTCTGGTGAACTCCATGCCTAGGAGGATTAAGGCAGTGCTAGATAACAATGGTGCTCACACAAAATATTGACACTTTGGACACAGTTTTGACATGTTCACTTAGGGTGTACTCACTTTTGTTGCCAGCTATTTTGACAATAATGTCTGTATGTTGAGTAATTTTCAGATGACAGTAAATATATACTGCTATACAAGCAGCACATTGACTACTCTAAAATATATCCAAGTTTCATTTCTATAGTATTGTCCCTTGAGAAGATATACTAAAATGTTTGCTGAAATGTGAGGGGTGTATATATATATGACCCATTTAAGAATGAAAACATTACCGTGCCAGTAACTTGGGGGAGTAAAAAGGCATCAACTGAAAACCTTATAATATTTGACTGTCTTTGGAGAAAGCGGGAGAGACTTTCTTGTCTTCTGCTGTCCTCCATACACCTGAAATTGAGGTTTGGTGTTTATTTTTTTCTTTCTCCACGCTAAAAGTGTCTTTATGTTAAAAAAAAAGCAGAGTGTACCAAACAGCTTACCCATAATTACAAATAACATTGTGTTGTGGAATGGACTTTGGGTCTTTGGATGCTGTTGCATAGCAGGAGTCAACAAAAATCCTTTCGTCTTTGGACATATGAGCAGCACTGACTTCAAAATACATGGGCTCCCCAAGCACAAAACTCACATTTTCTTCAAGTCTTTCCCAGCGTTCTGAAATTCACACAGTTTAATAGACCGATGGGCACCAACAAAAACATGAAATTATATAGAAGGAGAGGAAAAGCTTACCATTACACACAGAAATACTAAACTTGGCTCTGCGCTCAAAAATCTTGTGAAACATGTGCTCCCTCGGCACAGGCAGGAAGCCTATTTTGTAGGAATAATGAAATCTAGAAATTGAAGAAAACAAAAGATGAGGTGAATTTTATTTCCAACTCCGGAAACCTCTTCAGATTCATGGTTTACCTATTGTATAGGCACTGGATGTTTAGCGTGAGGGGCACCGCTCGAATGACTGTCCCTTGAGGCTCTGGTGTGTAGCGCACTGTGTTAGAATACATGATCTGGCCGTTCATCATCTGAGGAGGATCAAACGTTGTAATATGTTAGGTAAAATCAAGATTATTGATTATTATTTAAGGAATATTGCTGTATTTATTATTATCCATGCACATCATTACTTTTTATTTTTAATTCATGTGCCCTCATAATCTTTAATCAAAATAATTGTAACCTTAAATAAAATCCTGTATAAAATGTACACATTCTACTACATGACTTCTGTTGTGCAATTGAAAGTTTATCTTTTTTTTTTTTTTTTTTTTTTTTAGCAATTACATTACAGCCCATCAGAATTTCATTTAACTTTTGGGTCATACAAACATCAGCAACTGCACCAAATTACATAATTTTGCTCAGTTTGGGCCTCTGAATAAATTCTTTAGATTCTCGAGTAGGTTTCATATTCTCCTATCATAATATGAGCCTGATGTATCAAATAAGACATCCTACTCAACAACAACAAAAAAACACATGCAAACTTTTAAGATTATTATGAGAATTTGACATTACCATATCTTAATGTGTTCTAGTTTTCTAAACAATGGAAACGTGATTAATCACAAATATCTTGACAATTTTAAACAATTGACCGTTGTATGCTATAATTCTTCAGATTTACACAGAATTTTAATGATGTGTTGAAAAAGATACTAGCCTTTTTTAACTAAATATTTTGCACACATTTATGAATATTTAACTGTACAAATATAGGCAACAAAATATATAGCTGCCTGCCTACACTAAATATTTATATGAACAATAAGTTATGACAACGTATGTTTTTAACATTGCTTTAACTCCACTTGGAATAACTCAGAATAAGTTAAGCAATTTTTAACTTTTTTTACAAGATACAAGATTCAACTAATTCTCTTTTGAGTCAGTTTAATGTAATTTCAGTTGAAATGACTTAAATATCCAAGTTGATTGTACTTAATTTAAGGCACCAACATTTTTTTTTTTACAGTTTATATAGAAACCTCTGACAAAAGCGGACCTTTAAGACTAGGTTTATTGTATATAACTACTTACCGTTAAAGAGCTATCGCAGTCATTGAGGTCGTAATGGAAATATAAGAAGTTCCTGTCAGAGCGTGAGACAGGACATGTTCCCAGGTGAAACAAAGACGGTGAACTTCTGAAGCCCAGTAGATTCTCATTCATGCGCACCGAGATCTTACTGTAACCACACCAAACCTCTACGCCACGAGCATTACGCACGGGAGACACTTGGGCAAACTGAGGGTTCACTTGAGGAATTAGAAGACTAGTCAAAAGGTTTGGTAAGTGTCGTCTCCCGGAGACAGGCCTGAACAGATCCATGTCAACGAGAGGAACTGGAACATGTTGGAACATTGGGAAAACGTGATACGGTCGCATAACCGGGGGATTCTTCATAAACTCACTGTTTTCTGTCCACGGCCTGACAGCGCCTGACATGGGTTGCATGGCAAGGACTTTCTGCTCCGTGGATACGACGTTGCTATATGGGTTACCCCCGGTCCCATGATTGTAAGCTTTGACGATGCACATTATGCCAAGAAAATACAAAGAACAACAAAAACACATACGCTCCATGATAGCCATTAACTTTTAAATGTGACATAAAGGAAATAAATAAAACGCCGCTGAGAAGAACGCTAGGCGCGCCCTGTAGCCACCTGTTGATTGATGACGTGACGGCTAATTAACCGTTTAGTTATGAATCGTTTCAATGAGCCGGTAAAAAAAAAAAAGAGACGTCATCACGTAATTCACGCAAGTCCCATTGAAGCCTTTATTTAAGCACATATTGCGTTTATTATTAAGGTTTATATATATATATATATAATTGTTTTCATTACGTGTAACTTACCTTACCATGATTTAGCATTAGCCTATAGCCTAATAATTTTGTATATAACAGTACGGAAATCAATTTAACGTTACATCTTTTGGCTGTTGTAACGTTACCTATTGTTTTTCTATTCAATTATATTCTAGCTTCTTATTAAAGCCAATTTATTTCTTATGCGGTTTGATAAAACAATTTTTTTTACTTTTTTTTACTAAATCGGCTATTAAATGAACTTACACAAACATGTGGTTTGTAACTTGTGCTTAGTTAGAAGCATGTACTTAAGATCCAAAACTAGCTACTGCAAATAGGGGTGTGGAAACTATTGTTTTTGTAGAAAGACGAATTCAATGCTAAGTAGCAGTTTTTGACTGGCCTCAAGTACAAGCTAGTTTTTATCCTTACACCATGACTCTTACTGTGCAATAGACTTGTCTTTTAGGAAATGTCTTAATATGAGCACTTAATATAGTCGAATTCATTCCAGCGCTTCATAAAAGTAAAAGACCAGCAATATACATTTTAGGTACAACTTCCAGTTACTTCCGATTTGTAGTAAGCCTATATACATTAAAAATGCTATCAGCCAGCTTGAGGCTTCAGGTATTATACCTAAACCAAACCAGTATGAACCTTTTTAACGTATGTGTTCTCAATTAAATTTCATTGTCTGATTTTGTCCCCCCTTTTAGATGCTCCTCCACTTCAACAGATGTTTTGGTTTATGTGAGGGTTTTATTGAGAGGTGACAGAGCAACAATTTGTTCTGGATACTGTCCCCCTATTAACCCCTCCATAGATAAGATATATTTTCTATACTCTTCAATAATGACAGAGCACACACACAAATCTGTAGTTGTGTTATAAGCAGCTCAGAAACATCTGCATTTGTCAAAGTTTATCAGTGCTCAGACACGTTTCTGACAGTGCATGGTGAGTGTGACATTTATATGGTGACCAACGTCTGCTAAACATAACAAGATTAGAGGACCTACAGAGGCAACTCTCTCTTTAATAAAGAAACCAAAACTGATGATATCATAATACTTCAGACATTATGTTCTCATGAAGGATGATGTTGAAAAAAATGACAAAGTAAAGAAGCCAGTGAGGCCAATTACAAGTTTTAACTGGTTATTAAGAACATAAAGGACAGCAGTCATCATCACTGATCTGAGCAGAATAAGGTAGTTTGCAGGTCCTGATGCCTCAAAGGTTGCAGGTTCGAATCCCAGTCACTAGAATTAACCTTGAAAATGACATTTCACCCTAACATTGCTTTAACGTTAACTGGATGATGCATGGATGCTATGTACACAGATTACAATGGATGAAGATGTCATCAGTTAATTAAATATATGGTATTGGTCAGTCATACTGAATGAGGCTCGCATCCAATATGAAGTTCTCACATGATGTTTGAATTGTCATGGATTTCTACACAGTTGCATGAGGCTTGAATTTTAGCTATACATATAATAAACCTTGATCAAACTCCTATAATCCTCTTCTGTTCAATTCCGTCCAGTGGCTGACCAATAAATCGAGGCACTTGTTTAATACCATGTTTCCGTTACATAATATAAATGTCAAGCTTTAACCTGTACCAAGAAAGAAAGCAAACAAAAAAACAGCAGAAAACAGATTTTTCTTTTTTTTCTTTTTTCCTTGTTAAATAGTAATAAATACATGAGATGCAGTGGTTTATTTTTCATTTTTCTGAAGCAGGAGGGTTAAAAAGTTCTCATTTTTATTTATTTATTTATTTATTCATTTATTTATTTATCTGTCTGTTTTCTTTAGCAGCAATCCGAACATGGTTGAGAGTGGAGATAGCAGCCGAGAGAGAAGTAGTTCACTTTTTTTGACTTGATGGCAAACAGCACTCACAGAGTGTTGTGAAGGAGGAAGGGGAGGAGGGGGAGAATAAAGACAAGAGAAAGCAAAATGAGAGGCAGGAAATGAAGTCAGAGTGGGAGGGGCTGCAGTCAGGAGGGCGTGACAGTGTCCCTTCATACTGAAGTATTCCGCCCTCCTGCTAAATCTCGCCCCAGACTCTTCCTTCCAACAGAAACATGGGGTAAGCAAGAAAATAAAAAGAGAGAAAGAGAGAGAGAGCTACAGCAAGATTTGGCTTAGCATATCCAGAGTTAATACAAATGTGTTAACGCTTTCAGTTTTCTGTCCAAAACAAAGAGGGTTAGAAAAAAGAGAGAGAAAGAGACAGAAACCAAAGTAAGAGAGGGGTGAGAGAGAGAGTCTAGTGAGATGGTGAAGAAGAAGGCAGACTATTTTTTTGAAACGAACAACAGGGAAGCATTTTGGTTTTCCTTCTGGCAAAATGTTTTGATGTTTTTCAAGACTTTCCTGTATCACTTCCTCCTTTATGTGAAGTCGAGTTACGTTCCCCCTCTCCTCGTGAAAGCGGCTCATGATTCAGCCTCCTCCTCTAGTTGTTAGTTGGTGTTTCTCACTATGTGGCGACTAAAAACAGTTTCTGTCATTTGCTTTATTTCATTCGTAGGATTTGTTTCATAGTTTGAGATATATAAGCCAGTGTGTCAAGCGAGATAAAGACTGGAAACATTAAAAAAAAGTAACAAAAATGTGAGTGTATGTTGTGTGTGTGTGTGTGTGTGTGTTATGCTCAACTAGAAAAAAAGCAACCAAAAACAACTAAATGAAGCCAAAAAAAAAAAAAAAAAACTCAAACCCAGTTTGTTTGTTTTCTAAGCATAAGTATCATCTGTCTGAGCCCAAATAAAACAACTGTATAAATAAAACATTGAATAAATAAACCCCAAAAATACCCACCTTTCAATTTAGATCTCTTTCTAACCCCATCTCCCGCTCCCTATGTAGTGATTCTTAATAAATTAAAAATGTACAATTACGGCAAAACCTCAGAAAAAAAACAAACAAACCAAAAAAAAAAAGAGAAAAAAAAGCATAAGGTACTCTCTCTCCCGCTGCTGTCGTCTTGACAAAAACATTCAATTTTTTTCAACACAAAACTCTCCTTTCCTCGCCCCCAAAAAAACGGCAAATAAAAATCTCTCGCTGCAAACCTGTCCTGAAATCACATAAAATCAAATAACAAACGTTCTGAAACCTTCTGTTGCGACTACTTCGGTCGATGCTCTTCTCCTTCAATTAAAGAAAAACTAACAAACAGAAAAATAATGATAAAAACTGTTTCAAATCCCTCCCTTGACCTTCTCCCCATGCAAAACCAAAACAACGAAACGAAAAAACAAAATCAACTGTCTGATATTTCACAAGTTTTTCTCTGCGATTCTGTTAAGTGTGGCCGCGCGAGTGTATGTGTGTGTGTTGTACGCTTACTACGTGTAATGTGTCGTGTGTGTGTACGTGTGGCGCTTTTTGTCACTGTTATGTTGTCGTTAAAATTTTCGTATGGCTTTTGGAATTTGTTCAAGATTTATCAAGAGTTGGCTGCACTCTGACCGCTCCCACTCCCGCTGCCGCACACTGCCATCATGGCGGACTCCTCAGAGTCCGGCCGCCCCCCAGCTCCCCCGACTCCTCTGGGCGGAGGCCCCCCGGTGAGCATCCCCCCCACTCCGACGCTTCCCTGCGGCGGGTTGTTATTGTTGTTGCTGCCGGCGTAGCACGGAGGGATGTATCCCAAACCGGAGGCAGCGACCATGCTGTCCTGGGAGGCTGGGGCCTGGGGCAACTGTTGCTGGGAAGCGGAAGGGGGCTGCTGGGGGGCCATGACTGTCCTAGTCCGAAAGGCAGAGAGGCCCAGGTGGAGGTTGGAGGAGCCGTACTGACTGGAGTCCAAGCTCGACGGGGGCGGCTGCATGATGGAAGACTGACCCAAGTGGTGGTGGTGGGTGAGGCTGAGCTCGATGCTGTCCTGCATCTGCGGGGAGGAGACGGGCATCAGCGCTGGGCCCTGCTGGCCCTGCGAGGCCTGGCCCTGCGGCTGGTTCTGCTGCTGCTGCTGTTGCCGGAGCTGTCTGCCGTTGCTGTGGTGGCTGCCGTAGATGGGGTGGGGATGGTGCGGCTCCATCATGCCCCCTATGTTGCCCAGGAAGTGGCGCGAGTGCTGCGTGGCTGCAGGCTTGTGCAACATCAGCTGCGGGTAAGAGGAGTCGCTGCCGCTGTTGGACAGCTGACCCATGCTGCTGTCTCCTCCTGGCCAGATGCGCAACTGCTGCTGAGACGGAGCCTGGAGGGAGAAGAAGCGAGCAGAGATCAAGACGAGTCGTTTGGGCATCTTAAAGAGGAGCTGTGACAACAGCTAGAACAATTACTTACTTGTGGGCTCTGCATCTCGTAGTCTGTGTGAGTGACTGCACTATTGTAGTACCGGTTACTGTACCGGTAATTTCGGTTGTCGTTGGAAGAACCGCTAGATCCACCTGGGTTGGGAGCAACAACAAAGAGCTCATGTAAAAGGAGTCCTTTTCTAGTTTTACTGTCCCCAAGTAACAGGTTTAAAGGGCGGTCACACTACACTTTTTCATTCCATCGAATTCATACGCATGCGAATGTGGGAGACAGGAAACACAATCTCATGCAAATGCGTTGCAAAGTTCAAGTTTGCTTCGCAAATTCGTACAGTAAAAGATCAATACATCACGCTATGACCTCTTAGCTGAATTTAAAGAACACAAACTTTTAATATGCAGGATTCCAGTACACTGGACTTATATTTTTACTTGTTACACAGCTCTTTGAAATGCTTGATTCTGATTGGTCAGTCGCAACATTCTGAGGTTTGCGACCGTAGTCAATAGCACCCGCTCATCTGGGAATCTGAAGCTGGCGCTTCTTTCATGTCTCTTGTAT